GTACAAACTTTGTATTTAGAAATCTTAAACTACTCCTAAAATTAACCCATTATATCAACTACATCTATTAATATAGAATCACAAAACTGAGGGCTTCAAGGAAATGCAATATATATAATATATAAACAAGACCAAAAAAAGTTGCAAACACTATTATTAATGTATTTTAATGAATATTTTACAATACTCTGGTGAAAATATTTCATTTTTATGAGTTTGATTAATAGAAGGAAGAAATTTGTATGGGCTTATAATTTTTAGGGGGAGCTCTTATGGCATAGTACCTAAGGCATGTGACTGCTAACCAGAAGGCTGGTGGTTCAAACCCACCAGCCACTCCTCATAAAGAAGGTTGGGCAATCTACTTCTGTAGTGATACTGCCTCAGAAACCCAATCTACTTCCGTAGAGAAACTGCCTCAGAAACCCAAGGTGGGGTCACTATGAGTCGGGCCACTTGACAGAAGTGAGTTTGGATTTTTTGTAAAGTTTTACATAAATAAGTATATCATTACTTAACTAAATCTGAGCTTAATGAATAAGTGAAAATATTCTTCCAATTAAGGATTGTTTCCTTTTATTCTTAATTAGTAGAGCAAATAGAGCATCATCCTAATACTAGAGTAAAAATTAAAAAATTTTTGTCATAAGCCTTAAAAAATGTTCTAGAATATGATTCTAATCATCACTCTTATGTTACCTTTAAACCTGATACCATCAAATGCTTGGGCAATAGGTATACTTGAAGAATTACAAGTTCATGTTAAGGAAATGCTCTTTTCTACATTTCTTCACCTAATTAATACATTAACAAATAAAATGAAGTTTTATTCGATTGGCTCATTATTAGTTCCCATCGTGAAAGACATTATCTCATGAACAAGTCAAGCAAAACTTTTATTACAAGTTCTAGGACCTAGAGCCAGGAAAGGGAGGGAGCAGGAGAGGCTGGGGACCTCCAGAGCAGCATGATATCCAGGTAAAAGGAGTGGGAGGCAAGGCTAGGCCCCAAGCCCCCTAGAACCAGGAAAGTGAGGGAGTGCCCAGGAACCACAAAGTGGCAGGTTCCAGGTAAGAATTAGGTAAGAGGAGGGTTTAGAGGTTTCCAACAGCTAAGGGAGAAAAACTCGTCTGTCAGTTTGTCATCCTGTGGGGCTTATATGTTGATGTGAGGCTTGAGGCTGTGCCACTGGTGTTTCAGACACCAGCAGAGTTGCACATGGTGCACAGGTTTCCATGCAGCTTACAGACCAGGAAGAAGGAGGAGGCCATCCACTTCTCAAAAATTGACCAGGGAAAACCTTATGAATAGCAGAGAAACATTGTCTGATATATTACTGGGCAACTTTATGAATAGCTTGGAAACATTGCCTGACATACTGCAGGAAAACAAGCCCCTTGGGTTGGAAGGCACTCAAAATAGGACTGGGAAAGAGCTACCTCATTAGAGTAGAACCAACCTTAATGATATGGACAAAGAAACTCTTTCAGGACGGCCATGTGTTGACATGGCTCAACTCAATTTGAGGAGAAACAGCTGTAAACATTCATTAATAATTAGAACATGGAATGTATGAAGTATGAATCTAGGAAAATTGGAAGTTGTCAAAAATGAAATGTGATGCATAAAGATGGACATCTTAGACATTAGTGAGCTGAAATGGACTTGTTTTGGCCATTTTGAATCAGACATCCATGTGATCTACTATGTCGGGAATGACAAATTGAAGAAGAATGGCGTGGTACTCATCATCACAAAGGATGTTTCAAGATCTGTCCTGAAGTACAATGCTGTCAGTGATAGGAAAATATCCATACACCTACAAGGAAGAACCATTAATACTACTATCATTCAAATTTATGCACCAACCACCAAAGCCAAAGATGAAGAAATTGAAGATTTTTGTCAACTTCTGCAGTCTGAAATTGACCAAACATGCAATCAAGATGTGTTGCTTATCACTGGTGATTGGAATGCAAAAGTTGGAAACAAAGAAGAATCACCAGTAATTGGAAAATTTGGCCTTGGTGACAGAAATAACGCTGGAGATCACATGATACAATTTTGCAAGACCAATGACTTGTTCATTGCAAATACCTTTTTTCAACAACACAAATTGTGGCTGTACACACGAACTTCGCCAGATGGAGTACACAGGAATCAGATTAACTCCATCTGTGGCAAGAGGCAATGGAAAAGTTCAATATCTTCAGCCAAAATAAAGCCAGGAGCTGATTGTGGAACAGACCATCAATTCCTCATATGCAAATTCAACTTGAAGTTGAATAATTAAAACAAGTCCATGAGAGCAAAAATTTGACCTTGAATATATCCCTCCTGAATTTAGAGACCATCTAAAGAATAGATTTGATGCATTGAACACCAACTCCTGAAAACCAGAAGAATTGTGGGATGACATAAGGAGCTCTGGTAGCGTAGTGCCTAAGGTACTTGACCACTAACCAGAAGGTTGGAGGTTCAAACCCACTAGCCACTCCTTGGAAGGAAGGTTGGGCAATCTACTTCCGTAGTGATAATGCCTCGGAAACCCAAGGAGGGGTCGCTATGAGTCGGGTCTGACTCGACAGCACGTAACACACACACACACACACACATCAAGAGCATCATCTGTGAAGAAAGCAAGAGGTCATTAAGAAAGATGAGAAAGAAAGAAAAGGCCAAAATGGTTGTCAGAAGAGACTCTGAAACTTGCCCTTGAGCAGAGAGTAGCTAAAGCAAATGGAAGAAATGACAAGATAAAAGAGCTGAAGAAGATTTCAAAGGGCAGCTCGAGCAGACAAAGCCAATTACTATAACGAAATGTGCAAACACCTGGTTTAAAAAACCAAAAGGAAACAACATGCTCGGCATTTCTCAAGCTGAAAGAACTGAGGAAAAAATTGAAGCCTCGAGTTGCAATACTGAAAGATTCTACAGGCAAAATATTGAATGATGCAGGAAGCATCTAAAGAAGATAGAAGGAATACCCGGAGTCACTGTACCAAAAACAACTGGTCGATCTTCATCCATTTCAGAAGGTGGCATATGATCAAGAACCAATGGTACTGAAGGAAGAAGTCAAAGCTGCACTGAAAGAATTGGCGAAGAACTAGGCTCCGGGAATTGCCAAATAACAAGGCTCCAGAAATTGATGGAATACCCACTGAGATGTTTCAACAAACGGATGCCCCACTGGAGGCACTCACTCGGTTATGCCAAGAGATTTGGAAGTCACCTACCTGGCCAACTGACTGGAAGAAGAATGTCATGCTTGGTAAGGTGGAGGGTGGATGAAAGAGGGGAAGGCCCTCAATGGATGGATTGACATGGTGGCAGCAGCAATGGGCTCAAGTATAGCAAGAATCATGGAGCTGGCTCAGGACCAGGAGGCGTTTCGTTCTGCTGTGCATAGGGTTGCTATGAGCCGGATTCAAGTCAGTAACACCCAACAACAACAGTACGGTTAAAGTATTAATAAGAAACATACAGTGTATGGATGTTTCAAATATTCTTTTTCTTTCCCCTCATATAAAACTTCTACCCTACTCCCATCTCAAAGATTCATTGTTAAGAGAATAGTGTTTAAATTATCACACAAGCATAGCTGATACAATTCAGCTATGTGTGTTAGATGTAAACATTTTAAATCTGGAAAGATGTCTATGAAATATTTTTAAATGCAGAATAAAAAGTTTCAGAAAAATATAGCATTATTCCAAATTTATTTCTAAAAAGGCAAAAACATGAAAAAATTATACTTATGTGTGTGTGTAGCTAAGACTGGAATATTATGAAGGAATGTACAGCCACCCAGTCACTTTAGCAGAGGCTGTGGGGAGAAAGAAACTGAATTTTATAATACATTTCTGTATCATCTCATTTACTACTAGCATGTATTGCTTTTGTAATTAAGAGCGTAAGATACTAAAACATTGTTTTCTATTAAATCAAGTGTACTGACTAGCATTACAGTGTCTGCAAATACTAAAATAATTATGACTAAAAGTTTCCAAAAATAAATCAAGAATTATTTCTAAAATACTGTTAAAGTTTAACGTGGTGGTTAGGTTTGTGTGTAACTTGGCTGGGCCTGGTTGAGTGGCTGGGCAGCTGAATGTAGTTATTCCCCATAGTAAGATTGGTAATTAACTCCATGGTGGAATCTATTGGAACAGCTGAGTAGCTGCTTTAGCTATGTGGTCTGCTTCTCGTATATAAGAAACAACTTTGGGGATGGTCTCTAGCTTATGGTATGCTTGAGCCCTGCGTGTAGCCATGTCATTGTTTAGCAGCCTGCCATGCTCTGCTCACCTTGGGACTTTAAATGGACTTGAATTAATGGCTTGCCGTGTGGTTTGATAACATCAGGACTGGGCCTTTTTACTTGTCAACCTTGGGCTTGTCAGCCTCAGCAAGCAGCAGCTGTCTGAGTGAAGAAAAGCCTCCAACTTCATTGGACTGGGAGCAGGAGGCAGAGCCGAAGCCCAAGGTTGAAGGTCTTTCATCCAGCCCCTAGAGCCTGGCACTTTGAACTCAGACTTAAAGCCTCCAAAATTGTAAGAGAATAAATTCTTGTTTGTTAAAGCCATCCCATTTGGGTATATTCTTGTCAGAGTGGCACTAGGTAACCATAACATTTAATATTTTCATAATGATAAATTCCAAATGAAACTATAATAAGAAGCTAAGATCATTTCAAAAGATCATTCAACATCAATATTTTCTAAATATTCCTTTTTATCACGTCAAGATAAAATTTCCTCTTTTTTTTCTTTTAATTTTAATATCTAACAGTGTTCCCTTCCCTCCCCTTCCACTCCTGGTGAGATAAAATTTTCTTAAGGCCTAAAAATATAGTATGATATCTCAATTCACAAAAAGGAAAACATACACTTCAATTGGGCAATTCCAAGTCTAGTTAAAGTAAAGAAAGTTCCGTCCAGTTATCAATCCCCTTAACTCCTTCCAAAAAGAAAAAGAAACAAACAAACAAAACCAACCTGATTTGTCCTCTGTATCATCAAAGTCAACATTGAAGGAATGACCACTATTGCTGATGATTTTAGCTGAGCTGGGGTCATACTTGATAATAAGAGGTCGGAGAGAAGAGTCATATTTCACTTCTTTGGTTTTAATCTCAATTGGAGATTGCTGATCCCCATCAGCAATAGGGAATAATTCATTCCAATGAATTGGACCTTAAATATATAAGAACAAAAGAGAAGAATTAAATTCTTTCATTCAACAAATATTTGTTGAGTATAATGTACTGTACTTGAGATTGAAGAAAAAACAAACATTAATAAGATTCTCACCTTCAGGAGCTTAGTATCTGTTGTTTATAAGACTAGCTGTTTTTATTAATGTGTTATTATTAAATAATTATTTAATATATTTAATTAAATGTATTAAATATATATTAATATTTAATATGAAAACCACTTGGTTTGCCTTAAATCATTCTCAGAATTAACCTAACAAATGAGTATGTAAGTTTTACCAAGTACTTTTCAAGGGGTACTCTTCTACCAAACTAACAATAGCACAATTCACCACAGAAAACAATGAGAGTCAGTCTCAGCTTCAAGAATGACCTGTGGTCACTCCAGCGGTCAAGAAGTTTACATGCTGGAGAATCAAAGCACCTAAGAAAGAAAGCTCTGCAAGAAAGAAAGGTAGTGGTTCTTAAAGATGTTGTCCCTACTTTGTTCTTCTATCACTCACTGGTATCTTTCCGTGCCACCCAGGCCTCAGTTCAATTATATGTGATGTGCTACATGCATACCAAGGAAATACATAATTTCTTCTTAAAGAATAATCCAAATATAATAACTCCAGCATGTCAAGAAAAGTTTTCTTTTTTATTATCTGCGGTGGAGTCAGGTTGTAATTGATTTCTCTTTTTATACAGTGCAGAAGGCCCTTCTGTGGCTATTTTGCCAATGCTGCATTTTCATTCCACCACAAGGAACAACTGTTATCCTATTCAAAAAGTCAAAATTGCATCAAGTTCACAAATTAGAGACATGTTTTACTAAATTGATGTGAGCCAATAAGCTGGTCTCTGCTTCTCCTTTCTCTGCTCCCAGAGAAGCAGAGAGAGCTTACTGGCTCACTCAAGTTCTGCCTCTCAATGAAATACATAGCAAGGTTACAGCTTCATGTGAGCTCCAGGACATTCTAGACATGAGAGTTACTTATTTTCTCCTGTGCTTTCCCTGCAATTTACACAGCTACCAAGTGAGTAGTGCACAGGTCCACTCAGTAAGCTTTCCCTTGCTCTACTAACCACTTTTTCTCTAAAGCTCAAGCGCTGTTATGAGGTGTCAAGTTGATTCTGACTCATAGAGACCCCATGTGACCCACCAGCCCCTCCACAGGAGAAAGATGTGGTGATCTGTCTTTGTAAAGATTTACAGACTTGGAAATCCTTTGGTGGCAGTTCTGTTGTGTCCCATAGGGTCACTACAAGTTGGAATTGACTCGACTGCAATGGGGTGTTTTGGTTTAATCTTTATAGAAACTGATCGCCAGGTCTTTCTCCTGTGGAACTGTTACAACAGCCAACTTTTCGGTTAGTAGCTGAGCACGTAACAATTGCTCCACCAAAAACAAAACAAACTCACTGCTGTTGAGTATGTCCCAACTCTTAGGGACCCCTCCTTGGGTTTCCAAGGTGGTATCTCTATGGAAGTAGATTGCCCAGTCTTCCTTCCAAGGAGTGGCTGGTGGGTTCCAACCTCCAATCTTTTGGTTAGCAGCCCAGTGCTTTAATCTCATCATCACCAGAGCTCCTTGAATATGAGCTTCAATTAAGCCAATCTTTTTTTAACCTATTAAAAAGCAATCAATACCTGCTGATTACAAATATCCTTCTTAACAGCAGTGATGGTACAGTTAGCACCCAATGCAACAAGGACTCACTGCCGTCGAGTCGGATCCAGCTCATAGCGACCCCTCCTTGGGTTTCTGACATGGTATCACTACGGAAGTAGATGGCCCAACCTTCCTTCCGAGGAGTGGCTGGTAGGTTTGAACCTCCAGCCTTCTCTCAGTCAAATGCTTTAGGCACCATGCTACCAGAGCTCCTAGTTGGCACCTGGTAATTATTAAATACCAAAAATAAAAATGATTCCAGCAGAGAGGGAAATTAAAAGAAACTTGTTTAGCATTGGTTTCCTTTTTTTTTTTTTTTTTCTTTTTTCTTTTCTCCCCAAACATAAATTGGCAATTAGCAAAGGGTAAAATTTTAATTATGGCTTAGGTCACACAAAAACAATTCTGTCTAAAGTACACCTTTCATTATTAAAATTCTAAATCTCATCTGCTTCCATTTTTTTTAACTAGCATATAAATCAGAAAGTTTAATCAGGCCACAATTATCAATTAGAAAAGGGACTTCTCTGTTCCTTTGCCTAGAAAATTTGATATACACTATTGTTCAGTACGGAGCTCTGGTGGTGTAGTGCCTAAGGCCTTTGACTACTAACCAGAAGGTTGGCAGTTCAAACCCACCAGCCACTCCTCGGAAGGACGACTGGGCAATCTACTTTCTTAGTGATACTGCCTTAGAAACCCAAGGAGAGGCCACTACAGGTCAGCTCCAACTCCATGGCAGTGAGTTTGGCTTTTTCGGTTTTACTGTTCAGTAATATGCATGCTAATCCAGGAAAAGTATTTTTTAGTAATAGTAGTAGTATATATAGCCCTCATTTTGATAGTCATTTATGTAAAGCTTACTTGATCCACTTAGCAATTATTTTAAAAAATCATTATTTGAAATAACCAATTTAGTTTAACATGAAAACAAACAAAAAAAGTTTACTTGTGATAATTTAGAATACACCTAAAAAGGAAAAAGCTACATCTTTTTTATCTTGTTGCTCCTATCAGTAAATAGTGGCATAGTAGGTAAGGCATTTTCTTGAATGCTAACCTGAAGATCAGCAGTTCAAACCCACCACCTACTCAGTGGGAAGAAAAAAAAAAAAAAAAAACCTAAAACTCACTGCATGGTTTCCCAGACAGTATCACTATAGAAGTAGATTGCCCAACCTTCCTTCTGAAGCATGGCTGGTGAGTTTGAACCACCAGCCTTTTGGTTAGCAGTCAAATGCCTTAGGCACTAGGCCACCTGAGCTCCCATGGTAAAACAAGGCAATCTAGTTTCCTAGATTTAGATTTATGCCATGGAAACCCAATGGGTGTTGCTATGAGTTGGAATTGACTGATAACAGCAGGTTTAGGGTTTTTTTGGGGGGAGGGGGGAAAGAGGGGGTGTAATTTCAATAATCCTCACTCTGCAGGGATGAGGATGGATGAGAGGAAGAGTGCAGAAGTAGTCCCAAAAATAACTTCAATTCCCCAAAATAACCTAAAGCCTTACTAAAATCCGCAGTAGTAACCAAGTGCAAATTACTATGGGAATATTTTATAGCAACGACTACTAAGAAATTTGCTTTTTTTTTTTTGCCAATAAGCAACTTAATCTTCAGTGTTGCAATGCAAGTTATTAGGATTTCTTAACTATATTATCAAAGATTTTTTGATGATTTGATTCTCCTAAATGATAGTGAGCAGAACTAGCCCTCAATTGATCAGTCTGTCGTTTAATTTCTAATCTCCATGCCTTTAATTGATAAGTAAGTGTTTATTACTTTTCAGATGAAGGTAAAGGAATATATATATGAAGATTAGGGGTTTAGGTAACTCTGACAGAACTAGCGCACACCAAACTTCACCACCCCTACTACCCTCCCCTGCCCCAACAAACTAAATAAGAAAAAATGTTTTCCCCTCTACACAAGACTAAGCCTGCGTTCGGCTCTGGGGAGTGCACTCTAGTTTGGCGAACTGAGAAGTTACTTGAAAGTGCAAGGATCAGCAGTGTGTAGTCGGCGGGCGTCCGGGAATCTGGCCAGCATCTTTGAGCACTCCCTGAGCAAAGCCCAGTTTAAACCCAGTTTGGACCGCCCCCCGGACCCCGACCCCGGCCTCAATCAACAGAAGGCGCTCACCATTGTGTTCGCTGTATCCCCAGCTGAGTCTGGACATGGTCCCTCCGGGTAGAAGGCCATAGAAGATGTGGCTGGGCGGCGAAAACGAGGGAGGGAAGGACAGGCGGGGCGGGCGGGAGCCAGCATAGGGCGGGGACCGCGGGGTGCAGCCGGGCAGAAATGGGAGCCCTTCATCCCGGGACCGGGACCGGGACAGGGGCGCTGCCGGCCTCGTCCGCCAGGGAGCGGCGGCGTGCGAGAAAGACGCCTGGGCCCGCGTGGGATGGGTTGACCAGCCGCGGCCCAAGTTGCACTAAATCCTGGAGTGCCAGTCTCTGCTACTCTTAGTTTGAATCCGGGAGGAACGTTGAGTTTTACAAAGAAGTGTGTGTGTGTGTGTGTGTGTGAGAGAGAGAGAGAGAGAGAGAGAGAATTTCCAGAGGGGATTTCCTGCCTTCTGGGAAGTAGTCACCCTGGAGAGGAAAGTATTGGCTAGAGGGCTTTCTGGAAATGAGTCACCTGGGCCGGAAGCTGCCAGTCTCCGAGTTGGGGATTCTGGTGATGATGGTGACGAGATCTGCGATGGTGGTGGTGATAACGAATGCAAAACAATCATCATAATGATAATAACCACATAAGTAATTTAACTACCATTTATCAAGGCCAAGGAGCTCTGGTGGCACTATGGTTAGGGCATTGGGCTGCTAATGCACCAGCTGCTCCATGGAAGAAAGATGAGACAGTGTTCTTCCATAAAGATTTACAGCCTTGAAAACCCTATGGGATCATTATGAGTCAGAATCCACTCCATGGCAGTGAGTTGGGTTTTTTGGTTTCATTAAGGCCAGGATCTAGGTTAAGACATTTAGATCCTTGCAAGACTTCCTTGAGGAAGATCCTATAAATGTTCCTATTTAGGAGATGAGGGAGAAATGAGACCTAAGAGACACTCAGTAAGTGACCCTAGGTCACAACATGGAGAGGTCAGTTTGTGTGGGGGGGGGAGGTTCCTTTCATGGAGGAGCAGATTTCCTGCCTAGGCTGGTTCCTCCTCCACTCCAACTCCTGCTCCTTCCCTTTAATCCTAACCTCCTGCAGGACTGCAACCAGAAGTGAGGGCATCAGACCCAGTAGTTGATACTTGGTCACAAAATTCCGCTGCCCTTCCACAGGATAGAGAAAAGCAAGTTTTCAGCCCATGTTTTTTGTTCGTTGATAGGCTTGCTGCCGCAAGACTCAAGGCAGAACTAACTGCAGAACCTTGACTTTCTATCCTGGAGTAGTAGGTGTTCAGGGCTGTCTGCACTCAGGGTGAAAAATAAAGAGAACTGTGTAATCCGCCAAGATAATGATGGCAGGGTTTTTGTTATTAATTACTCATTCTCCCTGAGGGATTGAGTTTGGGTCAATTTGAAATTCCACACTGATTCGTGCAAATGGACACATTTGTGTGAAGAGCTTCTTACTGAAACTAAGAAAAAAAGCCTGGAGGTCTACTGCCAAAAATCCCGCAGTGAAAACTCCATGCATCTCAGAGATGGGATCCACAACTGAGCGTGTGGACGGCACAGGACCAGCAGTGATTACATTCCCCTGTGCTTGGGGTCGCCAGAGTCAAAGCCCACCCCAGGCAGCTAACAACAGCATTAAAAAGACTCGAGACAAGTAACAACCAAATGCAGTATGTCAACTTTAGCTTGAAAAAAGTGATAAAGATTTTCTGGGAACAATTGGGCAAATTGAAGCATGGACGGCACATAGATGATATTATTGAATTGATACTGCTTTTCTTAGATGTGATAATGACCTTGAGATTGCACAGAAGAATGGCTACTCTTAGGAGGTGAACTCTGAAGCATGAGGGCTGATGTGCCTTGAAGATTGTAAATGGCTTTCAAGAGTTTCAGTCAATAACTGGTGAATCTAATTGAGACTATTTGGGTGTTTATGATACTATTCTTGCAATTTTTCTGTAGGTTTGAATTCTTTTCAAAAAACTGGGGGACATAAAGCTTCTACATTCAAATCAATGGACTCATGAACTTGCTATACAATCCTTCACAATTGTATGTGCATTTTCTCCTTAACCAAGAACCTCTGCCTCCAGGTTCACAGCCTCCAAATGTAAACAATCAAAGGAAGATGCACATTAAACAGAGAACCCAGGAATCCTGACCTGGTCATCATCTCCACTTCACTCCTGAACGTGTGGTCCACTTCAAATGTCCTTTGCAACAAAGCATGCTTAAATCTACCTTCCTCTTTACTGAATCAAACTCTGTAAATCAGTTACAGATCTAGCCACAGAAATAAGTAACTATAGTAACATACTAAGGAAAGATCAAAGTATGAATATTGTTTTATAAGGGTGTGTACATAGCCTTTTTCTCTGTAATGCACATCTTACCAGTTGTTCCTTTTGGGAACTCTAAGTGTGAATCAGAAGTAGCTATATCATCTGATTGTTACAGAGCAAGAAACTAAGGTGAGCATGGGTCCCCAGTTATCTGAAGAGGCAAGCCTCACAGTCAAGGACATAGCCATAATTTGAAGAGTCCCAAGTCCATGGTGCTCCACATTTGTGGCCTGATTCCTTCCTTGTCATGTCCTATGAATCTGTAGCTGGAATTTATTAACCACAAGAATGCCTTATCATTTTATTATCTCATGGAGAGTGTTGACTTTACGGAGTTGATACTTCATGTGGTTTTGATTTTTCTAATTTCCCATTTCTAAGGTTAGGATTGCATAATCAGTCCCTCAAGGAGGCTCTTGAGGCCCAAAGGGGTTACAGGTCTTGCTCAAGTGACAGAGGTTCCATGCCAGGACAGGGATTCTCAGACTAGAATTGAAAGGCGAACCTCAATGAATCACCTCTCAAGTCACTTCTAGGATTATAACTTTCAGAAACTAGAACCAAACATTTCTTCTATCCTAAATTGTCAGACAAGAGCACATTGTTAAAACTACAGTCTACATTTTTGTTCTTTTGTTTAATCTCATCCAGGTTTCTAATAGAGATCTACGCACACTCTATTTGGAAGTATTTTATATCTGAGCACATTATAAAAGTAGGTATAATGTGATCGAGAAAAAAAAGAAGCTGAAAAATGAGCTTGTCTGAACATCAGGTCAGTGTCTGAAAGTCCAGATAAATTAGGCCAAAATAACTTAGCTGTCAAATAATTCAGTTAATAGTCCCTTGACTTTGAGTGAATATAGGAATGCCAATCTTTTTCTGTCAGCTCTTTGAAATATGTAAAACAGGGACAGAAAACATGTAAGTTCAAGGATTACAACTCTTATACACTGCAGGCAGCAATGGTGGGGTTGTAAAATGGTACAACTACTATGGAAAACCATATGGCACTTCCTTAAAAAATGAGAAAGAAAATACCTTATGATCTATCAATCCCACTTCTAGGTATATATCCTAGAGATAGAAGAGCAGTGACACAAATAGACATATGCACACCTATTTCATTGCAGCACTATTCACACAGCAAAAAAATGGAAGCAACCTAAATGGATAAACAAATTGTGCTAGCGACATGAAATGCAATAGTACACAATTATAAAGAATAATGAGGCATCCATGAAACATCTTCTTGGATTAATCTAGAAAACACTATGAGTCAGAATCGACTCTATGGCAATGAGCTTTTGAGTGTTCTGGGTGAAATAAGTCAATCCCCAAAGACAAATATTGTATGGCCCTACTATTATAAAAAATCAAGTATAGATATACACACAGAAAGCAAAGTTACTTGATGGTTACCAGGGATGGGAGCTCTGGTAGCATAGTGCCTAAGGCACTTGACTGCTAATCAGAAGGCTGGTGGTTCAAACCCACCAGCCACTCCTCGGTATTCCATAGTGATACCGCGTTGGAAACTGAAGGAGGGGTCGCTATGAGTCAGGTCTGACTTGATGACACATAACAACAAGGGATGGGAGAGAGAGAAAGGGGGCATCACTTTCTAGACAATAGATGCTTGTTACTTTTAGTGAGGGGAATGGCAAGATCAAATATGGGTGAAATCAACACAACTTGGCCACAGTAAATAAAGACACTAAGAAGTACATGAGAAAAATTTACAATTTTGGTAAATGGTATAATGTACAATTTTGCAAAAACAGTAAAACCACAAAAAACACTGGAATGGTTACATAGGTAGACTCAACAGCAGTGAGTTTGTTTATGTTTAAATACATTTGTCTGTATAGATGTATATGTAGGCATATGATATACATATACGTTTGTATGTTCTGCATATATATTCACATATATAGCAAACCACATAGGCAGAAAAATTCCTGAGACTTCCTAAACATATCACAGGATTGGTTTACAGGGCTAAAAGGCTTGGGGCCATACTCTTGGGACAACTCAAGACAATTGGCATTACATAGTTCACAAAGATAATATTCTACCTTCTAGTTTGGTGAGTAGCATCTGAGGTCTTAAAAGATTGTGAGTGGACATCTAAGATATTACCATTGGTCTCTACTGTATGAAGCAAAAGAAAATGAAGGAAATCAAAGGCTCAAAGAAGAAACTAATCTATGGGACTAATAGTTCATATGAACCACAGCCTCTCCTAAACTGAGACCAGAACTACATGGTACTTGGCTACCACTACCAACTATTCCAACCAGGGACACAATAGAAGGTTTCAGATAGAATGCAAGAAAAATGTAGAACAAAACTCAAATTCCTAAAAAAAGACCACTCCTACTGGACTGATAGAGACTAGAGGAACTAGTCTATCTCCCTAAGATAACCTTTGAACATGGAATTGAAGTTATTTCTGTGGGGTACCTTTCAGCCAAGATTGGCTTATAAAAAAAAACAGCATTACCCATGAATAAACAACTAACTATATGAGAGCAAATGATCAACATTTACTCAAAAGCAAAGGAGAGTAAATGTTCACCCAAATCAAAATAAAATTTAAAAAAAAAAAAAAAGCAAAGGAGAGAAGGCAAGAAGGGGAAAGAAACAGAGCAGACTGGAAATAAAAATAACAGTGACACATTGTAAATATTGTAACTAAA